TACCATCCAGCAGCACAAGCATTTCACCATTCCCCTCCACCTCCCCTCCCACAGACTGAGAGAAGCCGCCCACAAAACCCTCCGCTCCCACCTGCACAACCACCGCACATGGGAGGACACCCTCCACTCCCCGCCAGATCCAGCAGACCTTCCCTGTGCATGCGATCACCTTCGCACCCTCCTGCAGGATCCCGATACCCCTACCATCAACGGCCACTACATCCTTACACTTGACCAACTCCAACTCCCTACACACCTCAGCATTTTTCTCAACGCCAATATGAACAGCACCTATTACCCAAGCAAAGCTCGGTACTTCCTCATTTTCAAGACGGCCTACACCAAATGGCTCAAACTACAAGGGCTTCCACCATCCCTCGTTCAACACCTACAGCCTTTCCTTGAGCACCAATGGCGCCTTCACAACACACACCTAAAGCAGCAACCCCGTTTTACGGCCCGCCTGCTTCGTCAACTCCAAGAACATTTGGGTAAACACACATTACTCCACCATGCCGATCATGAGCTCCAACAACTTCGGCTGTTTTGCCCTCGCCAATACTTCACTGGCGCCTTGAACACCTGGCAATCCCCCGAACTTTTTGAACCACTTCCCTACATCACTGCCGCCAACATCCATGACCACCTGGCCGCCACTGTCCCCCCCATCCTGCGCACCCGCTACAAGTGGGGCTTCCGAAAAGACTTCAACATCCCCTACGGTGTTGTCCACCTCAAGGAGAAGAAGCACTGGCAAAAAGGCCGTACAATTATATCCTACTTCCAATCACTAAGCGGCAACTTGCTACGCATCACCAGCCGTGCCCTGGACATTATCCTCCAACACCTCTACCCTCAGCATCCAGGTCAAATGTCCATTCCCCAACTTTGGCACCACTTTCACAGTTACCTCACCCAAACCCCACCCGACATCTCACTACACGCCACCAACGATGACCTGGTCGGCTTTTTCAACTCCGTCCCCCAGCACCGACTCATCGATGCAGTCCACTCCCTTGTCCTCCACTGGCAACAACAGCAATCCACACACACCTTAACGGTGGATGTCCAGGCCACCGGCAATCCTTTCCACCACTCCCACATTGGCAGACACCATCGCAAACACCCTACCCAACGCACCATCCAGACTTCCGACATCACCGCCATCGTGGCTTTCGCCCTCAACACATGCATTTTCCGGGCTTGCAACAACACTTACAAACAAATCCGAGGGGCCGGGATTGGATCCCAGCTCTCTCCAGCCCTATGCAACGTTGCCATCACCCTCATTGAGCACTCCTGGCATCAGATACACAACAACCTCCTTCAACACACAGACCTCCACTTTACTTACTATCGCTATGTTGACAACCGTTTCATTGTCCACAACGAACATTTCCTTCAACACCCGGCTATCCAAACCCTTATCCACCACAATTTCTTTGGCGACCCTGTGGAACTAGAACCGGTGGAGGATTTTCATCTCCTCGGTTTCAACATCGACCTCCCACAACGCACTATCACCTACATGCAACCTTCTCAACCCTGGAAAATCCGGGATTCCACCACTGCCGGGAGCCAGCGCTTGGCTCTATCAGGCCTCCAATCACGACTTCACACCATTCGAAAATACACATTTCCACCCTCCAGCGCTGACGCTGCTGCGGCCGAACTCGTGAACCTATATGTCCAAAAGGGGCATAACTACCACGCCTGCCACCGGTTTTTGAAAAAAGCGCCGAATGCGGCGACCTGTGTGTGTCCAACCCTGGACAAAGGGTTTTCCACCACCACTCTTTCTACCCTACATGAGCAGGGGGGCAAGGCCTCCGGCGACAAACCTTGCCCAACGAAGCTACGTCGCTGGAGGGGAAGCACCGAGAGACGTCTCGGTGTGTACCTGCTTTGAACGCAATGACACCAATGGTCCGCCCTGCTGCTGTTTCTTTGTTTCCATGGTTCTTCTTCATGATACCCTCCCACAAACAGGTTTCCCACTGTTCGTGAGCTGCAGCCGGCCGCTGACCGCAGACTTGCACTCTTGGAAACCATTTTCAACCATACAGTTCGTGCTGACTTATGCACCTTTCCGTTCCATCGCCTTCCTTCCCATCGTGAAATTGTGTTAACGGAATACAAGTGTCAGAGTGTGCACAGTTGCGTACACCCTAGAAGTCCAAAGACTATATTTTGACCAACTGAAGTAAAGGAAGTTCCTTTTCAGGTCACCCAAAGACAATTGAGCAACGTTTTAAACCTCAGTTGTCATGTCAAGTAAGGAGATCCTTGTAAGGACCTGTGGCGTAAGCAAAACACTGGTGGGCGTAAGCCCGCGTAAGCAATTTTAGCCAATGTTGTTGGCGTAAGATATTTTTCGTGATTTGTGAAATGGCAGTTTTGGACAAAGAACCTTTTATATTCCAAACTTACAGCTTAACCTACATCCATGGGATCACTGTCAGGTTGCTGGATATATATGTGCGTTTCCTCAAGTGGCGGCAAGCTCCATGCTGCAGGTTGAATGTGATTCTGATGATTCTGCAAGATTGAATTGCATGGAAAACGAAATCATGATAAAGCCCGCAATGAAAAGGATTGTCCACCAAGAGAAGGAGTTTTAACAACTGCACTGTAATTACTATCGGATGGAAACAGCAACACTGTAATGTGCCCATAGTGTCATACTTTTTTCAAGACCTTCACCTCCAAACTTTGTTTCCGGGTTGGAAGCCAAAATCCGCGTAAGCGCCGCGTAAGCCAAAGCAGCTTTTGCAAGTAGCTGCCCATGTCTCCCAAACACAAATCATTTTCACAACTTGGTGCAGAGCGCCAGCGACTTGTGGCAAAGACCGTCTCGGACATTTTGGAACAACATTGCCCTTCTCTGGATGAAGCACACCTCTTGCTGACGGCTTTCTCTAGATGTCAATCTGTCCTTCCTGGCCTGTCCGCTATCAGTGGTGCCCAGTCTGTCTGTCATGCCCGGGCGCTCAGCAGATGTGCTGCCAAGAAGCGTCGTCAACTTCGTCATCTGCGGGCTTCTTCTGTGGCTGCGTCTTCATCGGCTTCATCTTCTTCGTCCACGTCATCATCTTCTACTGCTTGATGCTGCCTAGAAACGCTGCGGTTCCTGCAGGTAAAAGTTGCTGCGCGTAAGCTGGGGCTGTGGCCGGGTACTAAAAATGTCCAGCGTAAGGTCTGCGTAAGCCTGTTTATTCCGCGTAAGCAAAACTGTGCGCGCGTAAGCAAAACGTAAGACGCGGCGTAAGCGTTGCCTTGTTTGGTGCCGGGATATAAGACGTGTAAAACACAGTTCAACTCTTTTTATAGTCTTTGACTCCCAGGGTATACATATATATATAATTGTATATATGCATAGGTAGCGTTTGAGAATTAATATGCATACGTCTTTGGAACTGCTGGAAAGATCAGATGTGTACAATATTTAGTAAAACCCCAAAACATCAATAACAAAAGAAGTAATAAACATACTATGCATATTATACACTTTTTTAAGCTTTTCACCTCACTTCAACTGTTGCATGCTGTAACACGCCTCATAAGTCAAACATTGGTGGTCAGGGCCCAGACAGGCCGGCGGAGAGAAATCCAATGGTATTTTGATGGGCTTTGCGTGTCCACTTCAGTGTTGGGGAACCTTTACCTGACTCCAGCTTCCTGTCTTCAAAAGATCTCCCAACCTTAGAACCCTTGACCGGAGTCTTTTCAGCCCAACTTGCTGTTTGGGCGGTTTGGGTTTGGTGAGATGGGATGTCTTCGCGCAGACTGGTTTCTTTGCGGGACCTTTCTTAGCAGGACGCAGTAAGAAAACAGCCAGCGAACGAGGTCACCAGAGCCGCATGTCGAGCGGGCTGCCCATGCCGCAGCCGCGCGAGAGCAAAAGGCAGCAAAATGGGGGGCGTGTTTGGATGAGGTGACGTCAGATGTCAACACCTCTGTATCATTTAGGATGTTTTGCCGTGGCTCGGCTTGGGGTGTTCGTTGGGGTGGTGAGCCTATCGGAAGGTTTTGGATTGTAGAACCGCCCCTGTTGAGATGGGTCAGACAATGATTTTCCTGCGATTGGCCGGCTCAAGCCACTGTGAAAAGCTGGCAGGCTCACTGACTGGAGGTCAACAACAAACCATAGCAAAGCGAGATAGAAAGGACAGTGAAAGCAACAAAAAACTGATGCCAGCTGCTTGAGCAAGAACTTTGCAGCGGAAATCATTAAACCAGTGTCACATAGAAGGCAGCCCACAGAATGCATTTAAGCAATCAGGGTTACACACATTTATTTGCATAATATATATTGCATTCATATTATATGTAAACCATTGATGATATGATCTATCTCTATCTCTAGTTATTGATATACGATTGAAACAACATGCCAATTCTCATTGCTTTGGACTAGCTGCGTCTCCCACTTTCGACCTGTGAGATCGTGTGAGCGCCATGGAGGCCGGGTCCGTCCCAGGTTCCGGATGTGGTCTATCGCAGGGCTCTGGTTGTATATGCTATATGTTTTTGTTTAATGGTTCTTTGTATATGTCTCTTTCCTCTATGGGCATATATACCACTATGCATGGTTATATCTAATATTTAGGAACCAGGTAACCAGATCTATATGTCTGGTATATATAATCTAACCAAGACACTCCATGGGACTGCCATATGTATGCCGATCAGGCCAGGGGTGGTTTTTCAAAGGGGTGGGATGGCAGTCCGTCATGGCCCCAGACAGCTCGCGTCTGGGTCGTTCGGGACTGGAACCCCGGGCCAGCTCGTCCGGTCTCCGCGTCTGTCGCGTCACGTCGAGACCCTATCGCCACTGAGACTGGGGAGCCCAATAAGATCGATTACTGCAAGAGGTCATATCAGTAGACAGGTTCATGCGACGAGTTCCGTTGTAGAATGGGAATATGTTGCTTTCCGTTGTGCGGTGCAGGATTATATGTTTTATACTATATGGAGCAACGTTTCCTACAAAGAGGTGTTTGAGTGTAATCTTGTCACATCTCACGCGTGTATCCCAACAAAGGCATAATACACAGAAACTGAGACCACCCCGAGATGAGGAAGCCCTCACATTGTCCAAATTACAGGCGGTGCATAAAAAAATTAGCTCGTCCACCCCGACAAAAAACATAGGAAAACAACAAAACACGTCAGCTGACATTGACGCGATTGACGTCACGCTCTTTGGACACTGACACAGAGATCTCCAGCAAGTCCTCCAAACTTCTCTTGACAAAATCCTATTCGATCGGCAGGATCTCTTCATGAAAAGCTCAGCGCATTCTCCGCCAATTTGGCGCTTCAGGTGTCGCGCAGCCCATCACCTTGCACGCCCAGTTTCTTGGCCGACGGGGTGGACCGGGCAGCAGGAAAAGCTGCAAGCTGCAGGAGGAGTTCGGCAAGTTTGTTGATGTATTCAAAACACATGGTTATGCTGCAGGTTGGAGAGTGGCTCAAGATCTTAGAGTCTTCAGTTCCTAAGAAGCAAAAACAACTTCGAACTACAGTACTGTATTTCTACATAAAATAATGCAATCTCCATTTGCAGTTGGCCCATAGGAAGACACAACAGGCCATCATCATGATTTGCGAGATGAAGTATCCTCAAGTCAGGTGGGCATGACACTTGGGAGGTATGGCATTGGCCCAATGCTGACTCCTGAAGCGTACGGACCCCCAAGTCCTGCTTAAAATGGCCAATTCAGGGAACTGCCAAGCGCAAAGCAAGCTGGTAGAAGTGGACCAAATGAACTGAAATGACTTGTTGACCGGATCCCCTATCTTGTTGACCGGATCCCCTATCTTCAGCGACTTGACCGGAATCTATGTAGAAAGGATGCTTCCCAGCAATCTTCAGCAGACCACCACCTGCAAGATTTAGACCTGTGAATTCAGATGAAGTCTATGAACATCTCAAAAAAGGATGTGTTGCAGGTGAAGGACTGTTGAGGACTCAATATCCATGCAATCACTGAACAATCTCATCATATCATATTGTATCTCATTCAATTCTATGACTAAATGACTCTTTGAAGCTTGCTAGCCCAAAGATTTTCAGCGCTGACTCTTTGGGCCAAGAACGTGCTCCCCGGCAGCTGCCCCGGATGGAATCTGCTGAGAAGTTGGTGGTGGGCTTAGTGGCTCCGGGCAGTGGATTCATAAGATAATATGATATCATACACTTATTTATGTTTCGTCCTTGTTTCTAGTAGCTTCTTGTTCCTAGCAGTACGGCCAGGAGCCCCTAGTAGCGTCCTTGCTCCTAGTAGTAAGGCCAGGAGCCCCTAGTAGCCTCCTAGATATATATTAATATGAGATAAAATATATTACACCTATGCCAATAATTTGGTCCTTCCCAAGGATCATCAAATATACAGGTCCTTGACACCTAGCTGTGAGGTCACTTGAGCCTGTACTCAAGGTTAGTGAGGTAAGAAGAAGCGTCATGATCAAAATGAACCATGCAGAGTTCTCACTGAGAAATTCATCAGAGAGATCAAGGATTGCGCCACGAAAGCTGCGGGGAGCAGTCTGGCTTTCGCATGTTCCACAAAGGCTTACTGTACTGCTAGCATTGTACTGGCCTACTTCGGAGCAAAGAAAAGACGCGCAAGTTTCTCTCCACGTTCAGACAGCTCAACTCCCACGGTGTGTGGCGGCCAAGGAGGATCCGAACAAGAGCCGCCATCGTCCGCAGCCCAGAAAGGCGGCCCAGATCCCCACATGAGGAGGGCGACTGGCTACTGCTACGATGGAGGGCTACTGGCAGCATGCATCGAAAGCCACCTGAAGAGGTCATGTGAATCAATGCCATGATTGCTCGGACATGGTCGGACCTGATTTCCAATGTCACCGTCAGCTTGGGGTCGTCATGTCAGCGGTAGACCGGGCTCCCAGGTTTCGAGCCCATGCCACGCATCATTGGCAGCCCACAGCCGCAGGCCAACGGTGGTTTGGCGCGGCCTGAAGGTCCGAAAATAACGCGAGCTGGTCTAGGGGACCTGCCCAGGAAACGTTGATAACCTTTAACCTTCTTTTGGGGAGTGGGGACGCCCCACAAAACAAGAATGAGGTTCACCTTCTCTTCATCTTCCAGGGAAACGAGTAAAGAGTCAGTAGGAGATTCGAAAGAAGCGCGGAGAGCAGCTGTTCCCGTTTTCCCGTGTCTTCCACCATCGTCTTCGCTTCGCTCGCGCGTTCGCTAAGTGGTCCGCGTTCGTGAGTTTCGGAGCAGTCCGACCAGTTGGTCGCGTGACAAGGTCCGAGCAGATGACAGTGATCCGAAATGAGGAGTTGTTGGGTGTGCTTGTTTTCTCCCATTCTTTTCACGACATGTTCCGAGTAGGACCAGCCATCCCTGTTGCTCACAGCCTCGCATGGCCCAAGCTAAGCTCACCAACGTAAGCTCTGCGACATGCGTGTGTCATCATGTGTCGCTTCGACAGGCGGTGACTCAGCACATGGAGGAGGCCGTGTTACTTTTTTTTGGGAGGTGCAAGGTGGACAAGGTACATCAAGGTTCATCAAGGTACCAGGTATTGTGTTCCAGACCAAGCCTCATGCAGTGCACTTGCTGGTTGAAAGGGCATGTGGCACGGGCAGTGGCATGACTCGTTGATGTCGCTGTCACATGGGATTCCATGCCGGACCTGTTGGGTCAGAAATATGTTATAACTATTTTATTCCCGTTATTCATAGATTCTGAACATTGCACTGGGGCCCAAGTCTAGGGCGGGCATTGTGTTGCATCCACTTTCGCAATCACTGACTCAATTGCAGCCATTTGAGCCTGACTCGTTACAGTTCTATAGCACTCGGTTTCCAAGGTTCCAGTGCCTGCCCTGTTCTTAAAATTGCCGGCGGCACTACGCTGATTCATGAGCGATCCACACTTGCGTCATGTGCTTCCCTGGCACGAACTCTTGAATGCTTTCAAGCAGGGTGATGGCAGCGAGATTGTGCTACCATCAGGTGCCGTGCATGGTGAGCATGTCCGATGCTGAATGGAGCAGATACAATCCGTCAATTGACACATGGACATGGGACAAACGCTACAAACTTTCAAGCTCTGATACGCACATATATATATATAACTATACATAAATAGACATATATAGGTAAATAGACAGATAGATCAAATTAGTTTGTGCATGTTTGGGCTCGTTACATTTTGTTGCCACATGTTGCAACAATTTGCAACATGTTGTTCGAGCACTTGCATCAAAGATCGTTGTTTGGGGAGTCCTTCGTAAACTGCAAGGTGTTTGTGGACGAATTCACGCTCGCAGCGCCGAAGTACGTCTTCAAGTGCAACATCGGAAGTATCTCACTGAGGAGATGCTTTGCAGCGATTTGAGCTGCCCGACCACAAGGAAGAAGACGTTTTGCAGACCTGCAGGGAAGGGCAAGAAGGAAGTTTTTTGCATAGGTTATAACCGCGACCACGGTCGACTGAAAGACCCCATTGCTGCAGTTCACTCCATCGAACGCTTCCTGGTTCTCTTCACCAAGGCCATAGACGACTTTGCAGCGCAGGAGGTCGCGAAATACCCCGCCGAGCGCATTTGGGGCCAAGCCTTACCGACACCAGAGTACCTGGAGGAAACCCGGGAGAAGTTCTACGCAAGACCAGAGACCTATCGACCCGAGCATGACCTTTTTTGGGCGCTCTTGAGCGAAACCAATCGCTACGAATTCGAGGATGCTCAGCGTGACGGCGTAGAGCCCGAAGAGGAGCCCAACGATTTGTTGCTTTTGCTGTCCTTGGCGCAACGGGGGCAGATGGATATCCCGAATGCTTTGAGCATGACCTATGGAGGTCAAGCGGTCGGAAATGGTTTCCGGTTTTTGATAATTTACCATATTCTGCCTTTCTATCTTTGGTGCAATGCCATCATCGCCTGCGGATGGCAGAAGGAGCCTGAAAAGTGGGGTCCCCTGGCAGGTCCGGCGGAGGAATACAACCTCAGGAGACAGATCAGCGAGGACTGTGACTTCTTTACCTTCATTCCTAGTTGGAGGCGGCTGATCTCGCCAGACCTCCTCTTCATTGACCTTGATGTGACCAAGGACGTCCTCAAGCGTTGCTTCCGGTTGATGTATTTGACGAGGATGATGTGTGCATGGACACCCGACGGCTTGGACTTGCAGAATGGGCGATGGGCACCGGAGGACCTGCGACATGGTTTCGAGGCCGTCTTTGGGAAGATTCTTCGTGATGCGGAGTGAGGAAAGAAGGCGCATACCCAGGTCACTGGTTGACAGATGGCAGAGGAAAGTATGGCTGAATTCCTAGTGTCTAAGTTCATGGTCATGTTTGTAGTTTGAGTCCTGACGAGTTGTCCAATACCATTTTACAATAATCTTTAGCAATATTTTTTACACGTCTATACTGAGCATCAAGACTCTTTTGGCTCATTGAGTGGTTGCGCTTGTGTTTCTATCCATTTCCTTCCTTATTTCACCGGCCAGATCAACTCAGCTGCAGACCGTTTGGGGCTCAGATGGTTTCTCCAGAAGCCGTTGGTTGATGCTGATGAGGTCGAGACATGTCAAGGCGATTTGTCATGGTTTGCCTCTTATTTCGGGCCCATGCTTTTGATACATACACCGTACCCTGCTAGCCGCTAGCAATTGTTTGCTGTGTGTGGACCGGGGCGGCGTACTTGTCAGTGTCCATTCTCTCAACCAAGCTGTGGTGGCTAAATTCACTTCGTTGTTGATGGGAGACATTGCGGGCAGGAGGCGTGCTAGGCATACCAGTAAGCGTATGGTACCTTTGTCGGACATGCAATGATACGCAGTATGTCACAGCATAGTTTATTTTAATTTAGTTGTACATCACGAAAGCTAGCACCAGCTAGCTGGAGTTGTCCTTGCTTTAGCAAGTGAGGGGCTGGAATCCTCGGGATCGCCGCATCACGTGAAAACTTCATATGTAGG